ATCCATACACCTTATGTATCATTCTATATATGACATTAGGTGTTTTGCTACTTGACATGATTATAATCACAAATACCAGATTTTAGCCTGGTGAGGTGCAATTGAAAGCACACTGTGGTTCGCTTAAATAAGTTGTTGTTCTAAGCTTGTTACTTGACAAAGATGCAGCAAGAAATAAGGATATGTGCATTGGAGAAATACTGAGGAGCATCTCAAGAAATTCATATGGTAGACACTTGAGCGGAACCCGAATGGTGAGCGACGAGTTGAGAGGAGGTCCGTGTACGACGTGGAGAAGATTTTGTGGCGAAAAAGTGAAAGCTTGTGGAAGTTAGTGAAGTCAGTTGTAAGGGAGAGCAGAACATCGAGCATAATGAAGATATGCATCTGAAGCGCCATGTTCAACATTGAACTCGGTGGTTGAATGAGAAGAGGCAGAAGCAGAAGGAAAAGAAGAACTTACACCACATTTCGACCTTCCCAATTATTTCGCTACTCAAATTAACTCGTCGTTCTTATGCCAATATTTGCATAGTGGCTACTTAGAAGTAATCAGTCTCTCCTCAACAAAATAAACGACAATCAAACTTCGAATGAACCAGTTAGCCACCTGCCAGTCCTAGTCAAGTCAAACTGGACCGGCATCAGGAAGCAGAGTGAATAGTAAAATTCAGCTACTTTGACTGTGAACAAACAAGTGAGTCTCAAAATTGTAAATCCACTAATAACATCCTCAAGAACATGTCTTCTCATGTAGCTAAATCACAACTGGTATTCTCAACTGGACCAGTGTTCCTCAACAACTACAAAGATGAACTGTCGCATTTGACCTTATCTGTGTGTATCTACCAGTTGACGTGCTTATTTGGAGCCATATATATAGGTCGCGGAATGCATGTTTATCTGAAAAAGTCAAAGAACTTCACTCAGCTTGCCTACGAAAATGTTACAGTTGATCAATACGGAGTGCTATAACTGAACATACATTCAAGACTGGTCACTCAGTATGCACGAAGACTTCATTCAAATTGATCTACATAGTCAACAGAAGCCTCCCGTAGAAGGTAAGCTTCTGCATATTTAGCATTGCTGAGGCCTTAGCGACAGAGATTGAAAAACGCGATTTATGTACACAGAAGGAATGTCTCCACTACCTCTTTCTATAACAACAGAGGACAAGGGCAAGGCATCAGATCGTTTATTGAGGAAAATCAACACATTATTTTAGATTATTGTTAGTGAAAAATACAGTCTTTTGATTGGTTGTTTCTCACAGAAAGTGAACCTTGCATCTACTTGTGGCTATGGCAGATCATCCATATGCTAACTGTATCCACCTACGCAAAGCCTTTGTCCTCATTTTCTCACCACCAATATTGGGAACATAAACATTGACGTCAATTACTGTCTACCAAATTCGGCTAGCAGCCAGCTTTCACCACACTTCTACTTTGGGTATAATTCCAAGTTCTACTGTGGTGGTGCGTTACAGACATTGTGTTCCAACTGAATATGTTTCTCACATATTCCCACATTTCAATACTGCATTAGCAACAAAATAGTATGTATATTTGAACATTCTGTTTCATGTCGCTTAATGGGAACCGAAATAACACGCTCAGTGAGTGGTTAACGAATATAAACTGTATATTTCCATAAAGAGTGATTCGAATAATGTGAAATATACCCAGTTGTTGCACTACTACTTTGTTGATAAGGCTTTGTTTGAGTGTTTGTATGACAGCTTAGCAATACTGTCTTCTTAACCAACCCTTTGTTGGCTTCTCCACCTATTTAATAATTCATTTTGGACACGTGTCTCCATACTCTTTTACTAACGTCCCATTCCATATGACGCCATCCCTATCAATATTTACCAATCTTCTCCAACCACCCGTGTAGTTACAATTTCATTATTCATCACAGTTTGGACACATTTGATGATGTAAACAATAACCCTTAATAATTTTTTATTATTGCTTGACAATCACAATGTGCACACATACACACACATACACAACGTAGTTATATATAGTTTAATGTGATTGGACAGCTTAGTGAATGAATTCGCCACTGGGAAGAGACTTTTCACTTTGCTTATACAGACAATAGTGGTCACCTGTGTCTTATTCAAGTCGTTACTTCTTTCCACTATCATCCGATATGAGACTCTACCACATACAATCACAAAGTGTTGGTATCATCGACACGAATATGAGTGTGTTATTCAGGCCTCTAACAGCAGGATGTGACTATTATTATTGTCATGTTCCTAACATGAACCTCTTGGTCACGAGAGAATATGATAATTGCTACTCGTACAACTGTCCGCATTCCATAGTCCATCTATTCTGTTGTAGGCCTCTGAATAATTTCTCAGTGTGCAGGGCTGTAGGAACACGCCAGTCATCCTAAATTCCAGTATCACGAGTTACGTTTTGTTACCATAATGCAAGCTGTCACCAATACTGAGATTTCGAACTCTCCTACTATTCAACAGCTAACTAAGTTACACAATCGAGTTTATGTGGTTCGATCGAGCACTTCGGTTCAATCAATCAACGAGAAAGTCGAAATTGAATTAGTGATAATAAGTGATGGCCGTTGCAGAAGAGGTGACTCTCGTGGCTAAATTTGTGCAGTGGATAGCAGTTCGCGCATCTTGAATTCCACTGATAGTCATTGCTTTATCCGAACTTATGTCATTAGACGTTGTGTTTCAAATACTTCATTTCAACCGGATTTAATAAGTGGATGACTTGTTCAAGACTCATTTATATCAAACACACAATCTACATGTTTCACCTATTAGTTTACTAACTCAGTCACCTAAAATACAGGTTAATCTAGACTGTTCCAAAACAAATGCGTTTCCATCATTTTCGGCTAGGCGGGGATAAATCCATAAGTTCACAGTACCACAATCATATCATAATCATTCATTCTTTGCATCACTGTTAGAACCAAGCACTTCAGTGACACGTTTTCGTTCCACTGGATACATGTGGTCACTTCCAGCTGCCTCCATCACTGTCCAAAATATGTTTAATTTATCTTCATATCATCTCAGTGTCAATCTCAGGACCAGAACGTACTCATTCAATCTGAATCAGGTTCCACTCGAAGACCTGACGTGGAGTGTAACTAAAAGAATTCCTTACTGCATACTCAATCCATCCATCTGCATTTGTTTCTGCATTTCTGTTGAGAAACAGTTACTTGACTGATGACTCGAAGTCAGACTTCCTCGGATTTCACTCTTCCAAATCTACTATGTGATATTCGGGAGTAGAGAGACAGTAACTGTGAATGAAAGTCTGCAGTGATCTGTTTTGAAACACTTCTGGTGATACGCTCACCAGGTCTTTGAAATATGTAGAAACACAGAGCCTATTGAAATGAGTATTGAAAATGAGTGTGTACTGCTGATTACTGAAAATCTCCACATTAATTTCGGAGTAATGAATTCCTATTCTAACCACTTCATTCTGTCAATAATATCCCCACCATTGCTCCGCATTTCTTCTGTTATTCTAACACAGCTGGCAATTATCAGGAGGCCAGACGACATTCTAAATAAGCCGAGATATTAGAATTTTCTACTGACTTTATATTCTTCTAAAGTTTGATATTTTTTCACCCTAGTTTGCACTTGTTACTGTGTGTACTGTCTCATTGTGTCAAGAAGAACCATCAAAATCAGTGAAAACCATCATGTCAAGAAAGGATGCGGTGGGTTTGTTTAACATTTATTATTAACGCTTCTACAGAAGTAAAACAAATAATCAGTACAATGAAATAAAAAGGTTAAAATGTTTAAGAAAACAGAAATCTGCTTTATCCAAAGCTAATCAAGTGTCAATCAAAATATCACAAAATAAAATACATAAGTCATCAACCATTATTATTATGGGACAAAATCGGAAACACCACATATCATCTGGACAATATCCACCGTCGAACAAAGTAGATTATTGCACCGATAACAGCAAGTCCTGCGAGACAGCCGAATACAATTCCCACAATTGCTCCTGCTCCTAAACCTGTCATGAAATGATAACAACACAATGTAGTGGGATTGACGAAAAATTAGCACTTAGGATATTTGATATACAAATAGAAATCTGATAAAACAAACGTATTCTTACGGTAGCCTCCATGATATGATGAAGAGATGACTTTGAGTCTGGTATATTTTGTCAGGATGTCACAAATATCCCTCTCCTGACACTATCCTCAAAACTCGAAAATGGCCAATCGGAGATATTTTTGCCAGCTAGTTGGAACTTCTTTGCACACGCACATTTGCTGTGTCTAACTGGCGAATTCACCTCTTTCATCCTGAGATGCCTGTTTACCCATATTCGCTGTCAAATATTTCTCATGCACCCATGAACATGATACGTGGTATCTTTCGTTTGTTTAGAAATGACGAAACAACATCAGAGTCTGTATGTCAGAATAATAAAGATCATGTTGGCATTAGGACGTAAGCAAATCACACTGCGTCACTCTCTGTAATAACCATGTGCCTGTGTGTGTGTGTGTGTGAGTTTGTAGTCATCTTCACTGTTTAGAATAATTCACAAGGGAGTCGTCATCTCGGAAAAGAAATTTAGGAAGAAACTGAAGTGCTCATGAGTGGAACCTGAATGATAGGCGATGAGGTGTCTGTGCTGTCAGTGTGAGATGGAAGAGAAAATCAAAGTGATCGTGCAGTCGATTGAGAGTGACTTCAGAGAATCGAGTGAAATAGAGGTGTGCTCCTGAATCTCTACGCTTCAGTCGAAAACCAGTCAATGAACAATAGTAATAATGATCATTTTAATGATAATCATAATTTCATGCTGAAATAAATGGAAAATGTGATGTGAATTTATCTACCTAACTGAATTTTAGTCAAGATGAGTTGAATTCAGCCCTCGTAATATGAGACAACGACAAAGTAATTAAGTGAATAACACTCTGCATAAATACCAATCAATAAAACACCGACTCACCGCCTTTATTCTTTGAGTCATCTGGTTTCTGCGTTGGAGTAGATGTATCCATCATGGAAGATGTCATGGTATTTTCCGTTTCACCTCCAGGAGTGCTTCCATCCATAGTTGTAGTCTCTGGAGTGGTTTCACCCATAGTTGTAGTCTCTGGAGTGCTCTCAAACATAGTTGTACTCTCTGGAGTGCTATCAAACATTGTTGTAGTCTCTGGAGTTGTCTCAACCATAGTTGAAGTCTCAGGAATGGTCTCGTCCTGAGCGTCAATCTCAAGATCGTCTTCACCCGCATCTGGCACCGGTATGGCTCCTTCACCCTGTGATCTGACTAGTATCAACTGTAGTATACAAATAAACACTACAGAGAACTTCATTGTATTTTTGTTTGAGGTTTGATATTGTCTGAAACGTCGTATGGAAATAAACCGTTCAGTTAATCAAAAATTGTGCAATGACTGTGTGATCCAGATCACAGAGTATTATTAGCAAACATGCGAGACGACGCATTGCCTCAAACATGAAATAACAAGTCCTAATAATATGACTTGATATTACTGTCGGTATTGCACTCATCGATCACCATGTTGCTTGTTCTGTCATCACAATTATAGTGGACACTTAATCCTTATCCCTTGCATGTACTGGTCTCATTATCAAAATTGTAGGTCGGTTACATCAATGTTAGAGTGCTCATCAACCACAGATTTGGGTTGAGTTTGATTCCTGTCTCAATGTTGTCTTAAGCCTCACACACCATACCAGTAGTCAGCTCAGCTTCGTTAAGAAAACACGACTACACTGAAACGTGAAACCAATCGAAGCACTTTACATTTTACAAGTTATCATTATTATCATTACTATTAATAAATTATTGTGTTGAACTTACTTCACAATACTTCCAAGCAGAGAACTAAAGACCTGAGGTTATTTACAGCGGAATATCTTGTCCGTGATGAATATACAATGCTCACATACAGATTTATATATATAAATATTTTTATTTATAATAATTGTTGTTATTACTACCATTATTATTACTGGACAATGTACTTTCTGTTTACTCAACTCTCACTGGCATCCAATAGCAAATAGCATACACGATGTGTCCTTCATTCACGTGAAACTCAACGACGTTAACAAAGTTATCTACCTGCATACAAAATATTCACATTCATTTGTTACTGAGAATTAATAATATTAAGGCCGCTAATTAATTAATTAATTAATTAATAATAATAATATTATTATTAGTAACAAGAGGTGATTAAGCAGTAGAATAGAAGGGGTAAAGGATACCACTAAGCCTTTGTATGCACACATTGAAATAATCATAGGAGTATTACAAAGTTAGGAGGGCAAGTTGTAAATTGATGTGCAGTGTAAAATTGACAATAAATGGTAAGTGAGATCAGAACTACAAATAGTCAGATCAACATTGTGGATAAAGACTGAATGGTGCTTGCTCCATGTGTGTTTAAGATCTTCACGTGTTGTTGGTGAAATATGCCCGTTTTTTTCTCTCAATAACATGTTTTACCGAGAAAGTATTATTCAAAGGTGACTCTCTGTTCCACATTAGACGTTGCAATTAGATTATCATGAGACTGCGAAGTGGCTGGTACAGGTAGTTGAATCCCTTTGTGATCAGATAGTGAAGAATACTGTCAGTTTATTGATAAGATCAAAAATAATTTGAACTCAACAGATAGATATGCCATCCATTGATGCTTCCTTCCCTATTCATCAGTAACATGTCTCTGGTAGACACCTTCTACTATATCTGAGAAGAGATTATAGAAAGAACATTGTGGACTGATATTCCTGTTAATAATGTCAATCACTTATTGCTTAAATGTACAGAGAATGTCCACTGCTTCTCTAATAATGAAATATGCAGACAGGTTGATTGAGTGACCTTGTGATCTCCACTCGTTCATGTATTTGAGGACAATTTTTGCTAGCACAACTGGAAGATATTTTGTTGTAACGATGAAGTAACTGAAATGGGACTGTACTATTGTTGCGTAGACAGCGCTTTTGTGATCTTACGATGAAGGTGTATGTAGTGATATGATTTTGAGACAGATCGGTGGTGTTCACGCAGTAGTGCATTTCACCTGTAATAGAAGATTGCGATGAGTTTCACTAAGTAGAAGAGAGGAAGGACACATTAAAAGAACAATATTCATAATGTTACAGGCTGCGTCTCAATACATACACTTCCTAGGCTTCACACCTTTGGAATACAACTGTAGTTTGATTAGAAACTTATCATATAGTCGAGGTCGATTCGCTCGGAACACTGTATAGAGAAATAACATCGTGTGTTTTGGGCTATTCTAGGCAGAAACGGATCAACAGTGAAGATTCTTAAAGCTCACATGGGTAATATATGTCGAAAACATGAATTGGAAATTTTGGGGAAACGCATTATTTTTGCATCTACAATTGAAGACAGATACCTGTGCACAGGATATATCTCAAAGTCTGACCAGAGCAATACGGAAGACTTTGTACTGTGCACATCTACTCCTGTCCTTCTATAGCCATCCCTTGGAGTGAATGCAAATGTGCGGTCACAAATCCCTTCTTCTCTCTCTTCGATGTATGTGTTTTCGCAAGTAAATTGTCAGTGAGAGTTGGATATAACACGAGAGAGGAATTCGCTATCCATGTATTGTTTCAATGACCGACCCATTTTGCTGAGTGTAAATACTTTGGGCGCACAGCATTTATACTGTTTTTGATTATTACATCCAATTCGTCACCTCATGATCTAATTCATAAAAATGCTGACATTTCCATGCTACCTTATTTCACATTCAAATCTGGTGATCTTCAGCATAGATCAACTGACCTTTGAGGATGTCCACTTTCTCGTAGGTGGTTCGCGACAGTTGAAAGTTCCCCACCATGTATATCTCACAGAGCAAGACGTTTTAGTATGGCCAAATAACTTCTCTAAGAGAGTGTAGTAGAAGTGAGATTAATTTCCATTATTATATTTGTTAATATTATTCATCGCATAAAAGAAGTTGACTAACTGTATTGGAGTCACGTAATAGGATGAATAGTGTGATGGATGAGTTGTAGGTGAACTCAGGAGGCAAATAGAAACGAAGCAGTATATCGAGTTATGCAAGAGTTCTGAGGACCTCAATGTCACCTTCAGATTCCGTTCAAGTGATGACGTGCATCAAGAGCTATGTCACTCAATTGTTTCTTTGGCACTTACTCAATCCATCTGCATTCTCTCCCACATATTTCTTGAACGATAGGTTCTTGGTTGGTTTGTTACACTGTAGACTTTCTTGTTGCTAATTCTTTCTGGCGAAACGGCCAACCAACGATTGGATCTTCAATATGGAGCGAGTGAAGGGAGCAGCTGTTGAAAGAAGTCTGCTCTGGTCTGCTGGAAATCCTTTTCGTTCCTGGCTCAAAAAGAAGAAGTGATATTCTCATCCGTTTCGCCTGAGGTAAACTGATGCTACTTCCTCAAGTGAATGAAGCGACGTCTATCAAATACATTCCACTGATAGTGATTGGTGTTTGTCACTGCTGGTTGGCTATTTTCACCACAAATTTCATTCCTCGTTTCAATTGAAGGCTTGTATTCTCTGCCTGCTCTTCCTATCAACTTGTTAGCTTTCAGATGTAAGTCTTCGAGCCTAGGTGCCAATTGACACAAATCGTCTGAGAAGTCCATTTATTCAAGAGTCATCCCGACAATCACACGTATTCCTGTCTTCTCGCTACCGCACACATTTCCGTGTCAGGCAGTCCACCACACTTAGAAACACCATCAGCGATAGTAGGCAGTGTAATCCATTGGAAAAATTTTGCTTGATGTCGACAATGACAAAGTTATTCTCATTAATTACATCAGTTAGAGAAATTGTCCACGATGTCTAGTAGAAGTGCAGTTACGTTTTCACTCCTCGTTTTCTCGATGGAGCATTGCGTTCCAATATTTGCAGGTTGAATATCTGTGGTATTGTTTTTCCGAGTTTGAATTTCTATTTTACTGTCTAAATTAATCCTCTTATCCTGGTAGACTCCGTGGAAGAAAAGTGGATGAGGTTGAGAAGTCGAACCCGGACTTACTGACGTATATTATATCGTTTAAATCACGGAGTAGATAACCATTACCAATGAACTCCAGGAATTCACTGCATGAAAACAGTGTTCGGAAAAAGATAACAGGATACAGTTTAGCACAAACGAATAATGTAATTCCTTTTCACATTTCAAGTATTTCATTCCTAGACTTACATATTTTTATTTAAAGTATAGCGCAGTATCATAGGATACAACTGACATGGTAGTAGGTATACACGTATACATGTCAGTGTTCGTCATAATCACAGAAAAAAGTATAATAAAGAAATTTCATTGTGTAAACAACGATTGGTCTTCATATGTAGATGACTAAAGCAAGTTAAATGTAATGAAAAATAGCATTTGAATGTATGAAATAGGTCAAGGCGAGTTCATGGTTAGGACTATGACAAATTCAGCTATTATCCTCGAATATATTCCACATGTATATTGCGATTGTGTTCAAGTCAGGAAGCAACGAGATATACCAAACAAGCATGATGGAAAAGCAAACGGAGAAAAAGAAATGCAAATAAGTTGAGCAAAGAAGGAAAGCGTATAAAATATGGCAGAAAATATATGCGGATATTCATTAAATTGCTCACTTAATTAGCCACCAATATAAAGAGAACTGAACTCCACATATGAATTGTCGAATACCAACAACTATGGTAGTAACAACTCATCACTTTTGTCAACACCCTCTTTCATGAGATAAACAGTGTGTATCAGTGCGATTTTGCAGCGTAATAAATGAATTCACCGAAAACAGCCCATTCACTCAACTACCTGTCTTCTATTCGTTACTGTCTGGAAGGGGTATCATTCAATAAAATGAGATATGAGTCACACAGTGGTTTGAGTCTGATCAATTATAGGCTACAACTACTTCCTCATTGTTATGTATACACTCAAAATTATAAGATAAAATATTTCCCATAAAACCAAATAGAACATATCTATATATGTATGTATCAATGAGTGCAGAGATATTGAACAAAGCATCGAGAAGACAAATATCACAAAATCATATCAACATATCGTAATTTCTTCACCATCGCTTCACAACTAGAAGGGTTCACATGAATGAAATGAGATCTATGAGAATCACTCATTTACAACAGAAGTACATACTAATGAGCACAGAAATTTAATCAGGTCAAGTAGTCCATAATGAGTAAATGTTGCAATCTGTTGTTTTCTGCTCCTACCGTATCAAGTGCATGTAAT